TGGAAACATGATCAAAATGGCATCTACAGTGCAAGTTCAGGTTACCAGACACTATCAAGATCCTTCTCATCCACAAGGGGGGTAATTTTCAACAAGATTTGGAACCCCCACATACCCACAAAGGTTAGTGCATTCAGTTGGCTAGTCACACAAGATAGAATTCCATCTAAAGTTAATTTATGGAGGAGCGGTGTATTGAGAGATGTTAGTATGATTATGTGTAAAATGTGTGAGGAGGGTGATGAATCAACAAGTCACCTATTTCTACACTGCCATATAGCTAATATATTGTGGGGAAGATGCTGTCGTTGGTGGGGTGTGGAAGGTGTTCTTGCTGAATCCTGTTCAGAGGCTTTTGTTCAACATGAAGGCTGGTTCAAAGATAAAAGGTCAAGGGAAGGATGGGAGGTGATTTGGTTTGCAGTCATATGGACAATTTGGTTAGCTCGTAATGGAAAAATCTTCAACAATGAGATAGTGGATACAGACCAACTATTTCAATTGATTCAAGCCAGATCGTTCATATGGCTCAAGGAGAGAAAAAGAGGATACAAAATTTCCCTCTCAGACTGGTTGCAAGATCCTAGATCAAGCATGAGGAATGGTTAGCAAATTTTCTGAATTGTGTATTTATGTATGTTTTAAGAAGAAATTTGTCCAAAGTCTTGGCATTTTTTTGGATTTGAGGAAGGGTTGCTGACTGTATGTTTTCCAGCTGGGATTGGATGCAAAACCCTGTGGTGTGTTTTTGAAGGACTAGATGAGCTATTCTACCATTGAAGAAATTGCAAAAGATGACAGAAACCCGACACGGGTGTGGTGTCGACACATAACTTTGGTGTCGACACCATACAGTAAGCATCCAAAATTAGCAAGGACTGTTAGGCTATCATTAATTTATGTCTTTCAAGTTGGAATGTTTATGGGTTTGGAATACTCCTTATATTTCACTTTTTAATAAATGTTACTTTTGTTGTTCAAAAAAAAAAATAATATCCGTATAATTAATTTAATTTATTTTTATATATTGTGTAAATAATTATATCTTTTAAATTTGTTTATTTTTAATTTTAAATAAAAAATAATAATT